CTTAACCACTGCAGCGGCTGAGCTGAGGTTGGAAGGCACTCAAAATACAGCTGGGGAAGAGTGGCCTCTTCAAAGTAGAGTCACAACTAAGGGCTGAAGCCCAGCAAGGATTCGGAGGACAGCCCATGATCGGGTGGTGGTTTGTTCTGTTGTCCATGGGGTCTCGGTGAGCTGGCGCTGACTCGATGGCACATGACGACAGTCTTTATGGGAATGGACCACCAGGCCTTTGTCCTACAGGGCCACCAGAAGGGTTCGAACTGCCAGCTGGTTGGCTAGCCCCCAACACTTAACCATTGCACCACTGGGGAGCTTCCTATCCATATGAAGAAAACCAAACCCACTGCCATCAAGTCAATTCTGACTCAATGCGTCCCCCCTTGGGTTTCCAAGGCTGTAAATCTTTACGGAAGTACATTGCCTTATCTTCCTCCTGAGGAGCAGTGGTGGGTTTGAACCTTGACCTTCTGGTTAGCAGCCAAATGCCTTACCCGCTATGCCACTAGAGCCCCTTCACATCCATACAATGAACGTGAAAGAGAATGAACTTCTGATATAGTGAATGGACCTTGAACATAAGAGCCAGATAATTCAGACCTCAAAGGACAAATACTGAAGGATTCTACTTATGGGAAATGTCCAGGGTAGGAAACATGGAGGGAGCAAAGCAGAGTAGGGGTTCTGGGGGTGGGGGTGGGGTGCGGGGTGGGGAGCTATTGCTCAGTGGGGACAGAGTGCCTGTTTGGGTTATAACAAAGTTTTATAAATGGACAGAGATGATGGTTGCATAATGTGGGTATCATTAACGTCACTGAATTGTACTGGTGGTGCAACAGTGAAGTGCTCAGCTGCTCACAAGAAGACTGGTGGTTTGGACCCACCCACCCCTCCTCGGGAGAGCCCTGGTGGTTTGGACCCACCCAGCCCTCCTCGGGAGAGCCCTGGTGGTTTGGACCCACCCGGCCCTCCTCGGGAGAGCCCAGGCAGCCTGCCCCCGTAAGGGTTACAGCCTAGAAAACCCTTCAGGCCAGTTCTGTACAGTCACGTAGGGCCATTGTGAGTCGGAATTGGCTCCACGGCACCTAGCAACTGAGTCATGCGGTTAAAAATGGTGAAAACTGCCAAAAGGAGGAAGAAAGCGTGAGGAGGGAAGGCCGTGGCGTGGAGTAGGTTTGGGGTTCCCGGGAAAGTGGTCTGAGGCTGGCAGGCCCTCACCGTCGCCGTGTGTTTCAGGCTGTTCAAAGCCACCAGCCCCCGGCGAGAGCCACAGGATGGTCTATATTGTGTCCGGAACTCCTCCACCAAGTCAGGGAAGGTAGGTGCCCTGGGAGGCCACCCTGGCGGCCACTCGCTGAGCAGGGGTTCCCGGGGGCTGCTGTGAATTTCACAGTTCTCCGTCACTTCCTCGCACAACCCTTCTGCCATCCCAACCCACCGCTGTCCCTGGAGCCTCTGCCCAGCAGATGCCCCCCATCTCTTCTCAGCAGTGAAACGGCACCTGCAACAGGAAGGCAACCATGGCTGCCTTCCAGCAGGGGCGTGAGCGGGAGGGACGTGCTGGGGCTCCGAGGACTCTGGTGGGGCTCCCAGCCTTTGGGGAGGAGGTTGCATGGGGCTGTGCTGCCCTGACTCCCCTAAGCGTCCGTTTCCCTGTGGGCATCACGGTGGTGTGGTATGGACCTGTTGCTGTTACTCAAGTCTGCCCAGGCTATTTGGGACCAGAGGAGCCCTGGGCTGGGGGGGTGGGGTCTGTCCCTGCTGTGCGTTGGGTGACCCCAGCCCCCATACCCCTTTCCCCTCTGGCCTCTCCCTGAGGTCCTGCTGCCTCTCAGCTGAGCTGACCTCTCCCCTCCCTGACCCCCCCAGGTGCTGGTCGTGTGGGATGAAGGCTCCAACAAAGTGAGGAACTACCGGATCTTTGAGAAGGTGGGTGGGTGCCCAGCCTGCAGCCTGGTGCTCAGCCAGGGGCGGTACTGGGGGCAGGGCAGTCTCCCTGGTAGGAGGAGGCAGTGGGCGGGCTGAGGCAGGCGTCCCGTCCTGTCCCGGAATGGACGCCCTCCACCTCTCCCTTCTCCTGTGTTCCCCCCTCCCCCTTCCCTCACTGCCCCAGCCTCTCTCCTTTCCTGGCCTAGTTTTGTCCCCAGCAGGCAGACCCTGGAGGGGACAGGGCGATCCTCCCCAGACTTGTTGTTATTTACAGACTTTGCCTGGGTCCCCTGGGTGGGGGTAAGGTAGGAGCTTGGGGCACATAGGCTGGATGGTGGCGGCAGATGCCGAGGTCACTCGGGACGGCCAGGAGCAAGCCTGACTGCACTGTTGGATCTGCTGCCCACCCCGAGTTACAGGTGGGGTGCAGGCCCAGAGCCGAGGTCCTCCTGACCCACCACCCCCTCTGCCCCGCAGGACTCTAAGTTCTACCTGGAGGGCGAGGTCCTGTTTGTGAGTGTGGGCAGCCTGGTGGAACACTACCACACCCACGTGCTGCCTAGCCACCACAGCCTGCTGCTACGGCACCCCTACGGCTATGCCGGCCCCAGGTGACGCCTGCCCTCAGCTCACTCGGCAGAGGCAGCCACAAGGATGGAGATGGACTGCGTGGGAAGAACCGGCCCCAGCACCTCTCTCTGACCAGGGCCCATCCAAGCAGCCCCCTTCTAGAATCTGGCCAGGCTGGGCCCCACCCAGCAGGCTGGGTCCCCAGGGCTGGGCGCAGGCCACGGGCAGCTGTACACTGAGGGGCTTTCCTGCCCCGCTCTGCCCTCTCCCACCTCCTGGGACCCCAGGTCTCAGGACTGAGCTCCTCTGAGCTTCCTGGACGGGCGGTCTGGCCCTCACTCAGCACACCCACCCTCAGGGGCCTGGGAGCTGTGCAGTGGGGGCCATCAGTGGCAGGGCTGGTCCCAGCACCTGCAGTAGTGCTATGATGCAGGCCCCCTGGAGGGGCCGTGGTCACTAATAAAGCACAAACGGTCTTTGCCTCTGTGCCCAGGGCTTGATTGGGAAAGAGGGGGGATCCAGGCATCCTGGGCACCCATACCAGTGTGCGCTGGAAAGGGGCCTGGAGGCTCACAGACCCTCAGCCTTGGGTGCTGTACTCTGCTGGGCTTATGGGGCTCACGGCTAGGCAGTACCAGGACAGAACCCAAACCTCAGCAGGCTGGGCTCAGAGCTAGGCCCAGATAGGCGGGCTCTGCCAGCGAGTGGCCAGGCTGGGGGCAGGGCTGACGCGCCCAACGCAGTTGGTTCATTCACGGGATTAACAAGCAGTTCCTGAGCGTCTCCTGGGAGTCTGGGCCCTGGTGCTGGGTGTGCATGTGAGCAGTGTCCCATCTTGACTGGGAACTCACAGCCTAGCCTGGGCACAGCCAGGTACAAGGTTCTGGTGGCACATGGTGTCCAGGGCAGCAATGTGCAGGGCTGGGGAGGGCTCCTGGAGGAAGCGGTGGCCATCCCGGGGCCAAGGCTGTGGGCCTGGCTAGGCTGAGGGTGGGTGGGGGTTCTGTTATCCTGGTGCCTGTATCCGCCATCCTCCAGGGATACCTGGCTCGGCCCTGAATGCCTCTCACTTTCTGCTGTGGAATTCCAGCTGGCCACTATCCCTGGCTGGGTTTGTCATGGAAGTAGACTCAGATGAGGACAGGGCTGGAGGGGACCCCAAGCTGAGACTCAGCCGGTGTTGGGGCCAGAAGGGACCCCAGGGTCAGGACTGGGAGGTACCCCAGAATCACACTCACCTGGGATCAGAGCTGGAAGGGACCTCAGAGTCCCACTTAGCTGGGGTTCAGGGCCAATAGGGACTCTAGGATCAGACTCGGTCAGAGTCAAGGCGGAAGGGACCCTAGGTCAGGCTTATTAGAGGCCAGGACCAGAGGGACCCCTCTATGTTGGGGAAGGAGCTTGCTATATAAAACCCAAGCCAAAGACAGTGGGTGACTAACCCTCCCTGGAAACCCCTGGCACGTCTAAGGGGCTGGGTGGTTCTGCCAGGTCTGGAGGAGAAGGATGAAGAGGGTTAGCAGATATGAGATTCCGTGGATGACAACGGCACCTGCTTCCAGGAACCAGGTGTCCACACATTTCCGCAGGTGCTTCGCCTTCAGCCGCTCCAGGGAGGCGTCACGTGAGCACAGTCACATTTGGGGCGTCGGCAGTTTCTGGCCGTCAGTGCTGTCTCCAGGGGACTCCAGTGCTGCCTTCTCCCCGTGGTTGGAATCTGGTACCCTCTGTCCTGAGCTCGCTCAGGAGTGTTCAGGGTGACCGTTGAGTGGGGTTCAGTACAGCAGCAAGCCGTGTTCGGCTCATACCAACATGTTGAGCCAACTTGCCTGGGGGCCAAGCACAGGCGTTTTCTTTCCAGGCCGCTGGGTCACAGGGAGCTCCCGCGAGGCCACAGGTGTGCGCTGAGGGCGGGACACCAGCGCTGTAGCGATGGGTGACGTGGGTCTGCACTGTCTGTCTGCCTCTGGGTCCGCTGACGCTCCGTCCCAGGTGGACCACGTGCACAGTGCAATGGCTCATGCTGGGCCTGCGTGACCTTCTGACTGGGTGGGCCTGATGGCGCACGGTGGGTAGTCCCGGCCCACGGTCACTTGATGTCCCACAGAATTGCACTGTTTCTGCCAGAGCCTGGGAGCTTGCCAGAAGCTGCTGCTGTTGCTTTTTTCTTCTTGAATTTTTCAGAGTTTCCTCCCCGCCAGAAGCTTCTAATGCTGAGCTTCTCGGATCTGTGGGTTTGTAGTTTTCATCAAACTTGGGACTATCTCAGCCGTTACACCTTTAAATATTATTTCTGCCTCCCATCCCCCATCTCCAGTTTCAGGGACTCCAATTATGCATACTACAAGAAGGACTTGGGGGCATCCTCGTACCTTCTCTAACATCACAATGGAATCGCCACCAGCAGCCCGAGGCTGATTCCTCCAAGGCCAGCCCCGCTGCCACCCTCCAGTTGTTTCACCAACTCTAACACCAACTTTCCCTCCCACAGCACTCTGTCTGCTGGGTTCGAAAATTCATTGCAATGGCCACACAGAACTCATAGACAATACTTAACAATTGTGGGGTTTATTAGGGAAGCGTCAGATCACAGCTCCGGTTCAGGAACGCCCAGGATACGATTCTTCCACCAGGACAGCCTCCCTGCCGCCATGTCTGCAGGCACCCACCCCCTCTTTGGCCCTTGGCCCCTCAGCCTGGCCTCTGCCCCACTGGGGCAAGTGTTACGAAGCTCTTCTAGCTCTGTCAATAGGTGCCCTCTACTCGGCCAGCAAGCCTCCTGCCCAAAGGCACTCAGCGTTCTCGCTCCCTGGGCCAGGAAGCCTATTGTCTGGGGCTGCCATCAGCTCAGGGATCTTAGACCCAAGGACTCATCTCAGTCCTGGCATTTCCTTCTTGACGGTAGTCAGATTCCCCGTTCTGCCTCTGGGAGGGCTCATTTTAAGCCTAGAAGAGTGATGAAATTGACCAGCCCTCACATGAGAGGGCTGATTCCCACCACTCATCTGTCCGTTTGTCGTGCTGTGGTGGCTTGTGTGTGGCTGTAAGGCTGGAGGCTGTGCCACCGGGATTTCAAATACCAGCAGAGTCACCCATGGTAGAGAGGTTACAGTGGACCTTCCAGACTAAGACTGGGAAGGAGGAAGGGACCACCCACTTTTCAAAGAACAGGCCACTAAAAACCCTACGAACAGCAGTAAAATGTTGTCCAGTGGAGTACTGGAAAACTTCACGAATCACCCTGAAACATTGTCCGATACAGTGCCGGAAGATGAGCCCCTCAGGTCGGACGGCACTGAGAATATGATGGGGAAGAGCTGCCTCCCCAAAGTAGAGCTTTCAGGACCTCCATTGGCTGAGGTGGCACGACTCAAAATGGGAAGAAACAGCTGTCAACATCCATTAATCATCGGAACAAGAAATGTACGAAGTATGAATCTAGGAAAATTGGAAGTTGTCAAAATGAGATGGAATAAATAAAGGTCAATATCCTCGGCATTAGTGAGCTGAAATGGACCGGTTTTGGCCATTTTGAATTAGACAACCATATGATCTACTATGCCTGGAATAACAATTTGAAGAAGAATGGTGTGGCATTCATCACAAAGTATGTTTCAAGATCTGTCCTGAAGTACAATGCTGTCAGTGATAGGATAATATCCATATACATATAAGGAAGACCAGTTAATACTATTATTCACATTTACGCTCCAACCACCAAAGCCAAAGATGAGGAAATTGAAGTTTTTTTTGTTTTTTTTTACCAACTTAGGCAGTCTGAAATTGCATCACACGATAGAGTTTTGCAAGACCAATAACTTATTCATTGCAAATACCTTTTTTCAATAACATGAATGGCAGCTATTCAAGTGGACCTCGCCAGATGGACTACACAGGCATCAGATCAACTGCATGTGTAGAAAGAGAAGCTCAATATCTTCAGCCAAAACAAAGCCAGGACAAGGAGCAACTGGCATCTTTAAAGCTAGCAAGCAGCCATCTAGATGCAACGATGGGTCTCTCCTCATCCAGAGCAAAGAATGAAGAAAACCAAAGATTCATGGAAACAATTAGTCCTCGCGACTGGTACACCATCCAATCTGCAGCCCATATGACTAGGAGACCAGAAGAACTAGATGGTGCCCGGCTACCACTGTCAACCACTCGGAGGGCATCTATGTAGGAGATGCTGGATAGAGAGGGAGAACAATATGGAACAAAACTCAAAATCATTTGGAAAAAAAAAAAAGGGGACCAGGTTTGCTGGTCTGATAGAGCTTGGTGGAACCACTGAGACTATGGTCCCTAGCTGCCCTTTGGGTCTGGAATGGAACCCACACCTGTGGCTTCCAGCCAAACAAAAGACAGGTATATGAGTTGAACATTTACCTGAGGTAGATACACTCCTTGGAGAGAACAATCATGGGAGAAAGAAGGGCACAGGGAGACAGCTCAGGGGGCAGGAGTGCATGGAGGGATGGACACAGGGAAGAGGTAACTATGGGGAGGAAGTGGGAGGGGAGCTGTTGCTTTGGGGTAAATTGTAGTCAATATCATGAGACAACGTGTGTGTGAACTGCTATATGGAAAGTGAATTTGCTCTGTAAATTTTCATCCAAATCACAATTAAAAAAGAAAACAAAGCCAGGAGCTGCCGGTGGGACAGACCATCAATTGCTCATATGCAAGTTCAAGTTGAAGTTGAAGAAAACTAAAACAAGTCCACGAGAGCCAAAATATGACCTTGCATATATCCCTCCTGAATTTAGAGACCATCTAAACAATAGATTTGATGCACTGAACACCAATGACCGAAAACCAGACAAATTGTGTGACATCATATACATCATACATAAAGAAAGCAAAAGGTCATTAAAAAGACAAGAAAGGAAGAAAAGACCAAAATGGATGTCAGAAGAGACTCTGAAACTTGTTCTTGAATGGAGAATAGTTAAAGCAAATGAAAGAAATGATAAAACAAAAGAGCTGAACAGATTTCAGAGCAGCTTGAGAAGACAAAGTCAATTATGATAGTGAAATGTGCA